TTTTTGGTATTTTTAATTCTTTCGACAAAAAAACAAAAAAAAAAAAAAAAGAAAAAACACACGGATTCGTCACACTTCAAGTGAACATGACCTTGTGTTGGTCCTCGTTAACGATGTCTAATTAGCATCTCTCACTTTTTATCCCGTATTACAGTCTTTTTACCGATCTATTTACAGAGTCAACAGAGTTTAATCAAATCCACTACGGGTTTATGTCTTTTCCACTCGTTTCTATTCGTCCTTTTATTTTATTTTCTCTCTCGTTCTCTCTCTCTCTCTCTCTCTCTTTCTCTCTTTCTCTTTCTTTTTCTCTTTAACTTTCTGTTCGTTTTTCCACGGCTTACTTGCAATCCCTCCCTCAACCCCCCATAGAATTTAACTTCTATTTAAACGGAAGCATCGATAAATCACATCATCATTTTCTTTCGTTATCATTTTCTTTTCTCCCCCTACTATTTATTTGTTTATTATTATTATTATTATTATTATTATTATTATTATTATTATTATTATTATTATTATTATTATTATTATTATTATTCTTTATATTTATCGTAAAATTGCTAACGTAAGACCGCGGGGCTCCCTATTATTATTATAGCCAATCAAAAATTAATTTCATAACGTAATGTTTCATGGTTTTTTGTTTTGTTTTGTTATTATTTTTTTTTTATTTTTATTATTCTCTTATTCGTTCGTTTTACTTTACTTTTATTGTATTATTTTGTCTTTTTTTAATTTATTTCAACAGTTTATATAATATAGTTGTATATATATATATATAGATTAATAATATTTATTAAATATATCCAGATTTGGATTTATATTCCATTTTTTTGTTGTTCGTAATAATAAAAATTTCAAATCATTTGCTTCCATATTCGACATTTTGTTCTTTTTTTTTTAGAGAATTTTGAGAGAAAAAAAATCATGCAATTTTCGTTCAGTAGAAAAAAACGAACGTTCTTTCATAAAAATGTCGAAATTGAAATGATAATCGACACGAGGAAGAAAAAAGATTGGACGAACATTTGAAAAAATTAATAAACAAATGAAACATTGATGAAAAGATAAAAGAGAAAAAAAATATTCACATATAATATAAAAAAAAAAATAAAAAAAAAGTGTTGAGCCCCGTTTACGTCGATCTTTCGCGCTAGACAAATTCTGAAGGTGTTTTCCAACATCCGGCGCAACAGGGTAGAGCACTCTTCAAGGTGTCCTTGAAGGCCTCACGAAAGTCACGGTTGAAGTAGGCGTAGATCAACGGATTTAGGGCACTGTTGAAATAACCTATCCAGAATAAAACTGATACCACGGTATCTGGACAGTAACAGGCCTCACCGCAAAGTGTCGTCGTTAAATACCTGAAACAAAGACACATTTTTATTTTTTTTTTATAATTTATTATCTATTCCTTTCAATCTATTTTGTAATCTAAAAATCACATTTTGTTTCAATAGTTATAAACACTTATAATATTATATTTGTTAACAATTTATATATCATTGTAAGATTCTTTGTAAAATACAACTCGTGTCAATGTATCACGTAAAACAATAATTACATACATAAATAAAGTTATTATTAAAATTAATTATATATAATTAAAATAAAAATAATTTATTAATAATTAATATTATATATTTTTTTTTGTATTATATTTATTAATAAAAATAAAATTATTTTTAATAACACGAATAATTAGGTGGATTATATGGAATAAGAAAATATAATCATTCGTTTAATTATTATAGTAATTTAAATTGCATATTTTAATTTGCAGAGATATTGAAAATAATAATTCAACATTAAAAAAATGAAATATAAAACAAAACAATTATAATATAAATAATTATTACGGAAATACTATTTATTTGTATAGGTGTAAACCAAATAATTTGATCAATAAGAAAAATGTAACTTTTTCGTTTTTCGATTTTAATTAAATTATTTTCTACGCGAACTTTTGTGATAAATTCAAATATATTGTATACTACAAATATTGTTTATTTTTTTGTTAAGATAATTTATAAGTGAAATATTGATTTATAAGATTTATTAACCGAAGAAAGTTTCATCATACACTGATCACAGAAAACTCAACTTAAAAGTATTATAAAAAAAAAAAAAAAAAGAAAAAGAAAAAAAAAAGAAGAAAAGTATAGTAAGGATACTGAAGGATAATAAGTAGGCTCTTTGTATGCAAATTTACGCTACCCGCACTAAGATCCAAGATGGAAGAGATCTTCGTGTTCGTTCGTTCTTTCGTTCGATTATTTTCCCTTATATTTTTTTTTTATTTTTCTTTTTCTTTTTCCTCAATCTTTCTTTTTTTAACCAAGAAAAACAGTTTTCTATGTGATTCCGCACGATATACCTCGTAACACGAGAACAAATTATTTGCATATATGAACATCCCCCTCCCTTTTTTTTTACTTTTTTCCACACTTTTTTGCTTTTTTATACAATATTTCCAACTATCCAATGCATTTCAAATTTTCCATCCTTTTTTTTTTACTATTAATTTGAAAAAAAAAAAAAAAAAAAAAGAAAAATTATTTACGTGCCTTTGCGTCACCGTGACTGACGTTTAATCTCACAAATATACATTTATACTAACCAAACTAATGTAATTGGAAAATTCTTCTTCTGTGAAGAAAATTTTTCAACTCTTTTTATTTCACAATTCAATCAAAAATCCACCCTACCCCCCAAAAAAAAAATTCGTATAAATTAAACGCTTATATCCGAATTCCATTCATTGTAAATTAGAAAGAAGAAGAAAAAAAAACAAACAAACAAACATCTCTGTTCAAATAAAAATTATGAAAACATATAAATGAGAATAAAGTTTTCAAATTTAAGTTAAAACAAAATTAAAGTTAACACGATACGAAATAATAAAATAAATATAATACTATAATAAATATTAAATATATAAAAAATAGAAAAAAAAATACTAGAACAAAAATACTAAAATAATATATAATATTTAATATTGGGTAATTACAAATTACATATATATTATACATTAGTATTACATAGTATTATAATACTATATAATATATTAGTATTATATTTCAGTAATTTTATTTATTATTATAATTAATTTAATTTAATAATTATAATTATTTTAGTAATTATATTTATATAAATATAATATATTATTAAAATATAATATAAATTTATATTATATATATATATAAATAAATATACATAAATAAATATATGTATATATATATTAGATATTTATGTAGATATATTTAGATATTAGTAAAACTGTAAAAGGATTATTTACAACGAAGCCACAAAGTTTTGGTCGTTTATAGTAACATCGTTTCCCGTTGATGTTAATTAAAACGATGTCGAGTACGAACGAGACTAATTTGCGTCATACATTTTAGTAATACTACGAAAATGTTCACGAACAAGAGCATGTATAAATGTACAATGTAAGTATATTTATGTTTTGAATTTCGCGCCTAAATAACAGTGCACGTTAATTTATGTCCTAAATTCAATGTGTTTAGATTATTTTCACGGTCTCATTTGTTCCCTTTTTATTTCTAAAGAGAATTATTATACCTAATACGGTGTTCTTTTATTTTCGAATTAATTAACGAGTTTAGGAAATAAACGTTTTAGGAAAATTCGTTTAAAACCATTATATATATATATAGAATAATTTAATGCTTGAATGATTTATTTTGTTAGTACGGTTTATTAAATTAAACAATTTCAACGTATTTATACTTGTCTTATTATCAATTGATTTATATAAACATGTATTTGTATATGTGTATTTGTGTATAGGTGTATGTAATGTATATATGTGTATTTATATGAAATGTCGAAAATAGAGTTAGAGTTCAGAACCATACAAAATTCAGGAAATTACTATCGAGCGAGAGTAACCTAACACGAACTCTATTTTCTATTCTATTTTTGATCGAACATTCAACGTTTCTGCTTTTCTACAAAGTATATACATTGATTTAATCTATGATAAAAGTTTGCCATTTATACGAGCTTTATTAAATATTTCGATGAATTAATTGAAACAATATTAGATATACATATATATATATATATATATATATGTTAGGATGTTATGGCTACGCGTTGCTGTGGCTTTGCTGTAAAATATTGATCTAATATAATTTTCAATTATTTCACGCAATCAAATTAATATTCAATAATAATTTCTTGGAATTCAAATTAAGCATAAAACAACAAATTAAATTTTTTAAATATATAATATATAATATATAAATAATAACACAGAAAATACCACAATTAAAATGGAATACATTAAACAGTAATACACACACACACACAAAATATAGAAAAAGTAATGTTATGTCGTACATAAATTGAAATGATTGAATTGAAATATGACGTTATCTATTAAATATTTACACAACCTAAAGACCTAGATAACCTTTAAATAACAAACCTTTAAATTTGCAAAAAAAAAAAAAATAACAAAATAATTGCGATTAAAAATTATTCTATCTACTAAGTAGACAAAAAATCACACAAAATACAACAAAAAAACAATTTCATTAAATCGGTTCAGTAATTTCGAAGTTTATTGAAAACCAACCAGTATGATGCTGAGATTTTTATTTGTAAAAATAAACAACAAAAAAAAAATTACGTATGCATATTTATACTACGTGAATAATAAAAATGTTTTATTAAGAAAGAAAAGAAAAGACAAAAATTAAATAAATAAACTGAAGAAGAAGAAGAAGAAGAAGAGTTTAGAAAAAAAAAAAACAGAAAAAAATAGAAAACAAAAAAAAAATATGTAAAGTAAAGTAGAAAACTAGAAAACTATTTCTCTCGGTGCCATCGTTTAGTCGAGCAAATAGTAGTTTCCGAGACGACTAGGAAGAGAAACCTTCCTCCGAGATATATCTCTGGATAAGCTCTTGGTAAACTTTAGCAAGGGGGATGCACTCGGGACGTTTGCATTAACAAAACATGAGCGAAACACCGAACCCAACTATGGCGAGCTTTTACAACCGTTCTGAGGTTCTCTCCCTAGTCCTAAGGGTAAAACTTTGAAATGATGATGAACGAATCAATGGGTTGGATAGATGGATTGGATGGATGGATGAATAAATGGATGGATGGGTACATGGATGGATGAATGAATTAATGGATGGATGGATGGATGGATGGATGGATGATCTTTACAGAGAACCTTCTATCTGTAATATCTGATTTTATTTACATTTTGTTTGTTTTTTTTTTGTTTCTTTTTATAAAACGATATCAAAATGTAAATATATGTTATACATTGTCTTTCTTTTTTTTTTTACAGTAATATATTATAATATTGTTATTTATTTCCATATATATATATATATATATATATTTATTACTGTATATATTATATACTGTATATATACTATATTACTGTGTATATATTATATATATTACTGTATATATTATATACTGTATATATATAATATTATACAGTATAATATATAATATAACTGTATAATACTGTATAATACTATAAAATAACTATATAATAGATAAATAAATATATAAATAACATAAAATAAATATATAAATAAAATAATAATAGATATATAAATAACTATATAATAAATAAATACTATAAAATACTGTATAATACTGTATAATATTATACAGTATTATATACTGTATATATATATATATATATATATAAAAATTGTATCTTCAAAATTATCCCTCTAAATATAAAATTTAATTGAAATTTATTAACGTCGTTGTATAATTTAAAAAACAAACAAAAAAATATTTGAATCGTGTAATTAAAATTTGGTTCCTATTTTTTTTTCAAAATTACCAATTGCAAAGAAAAAAAAAAAAAAAAAGAAAGCAACAAATAAAGAAAGGATTATTAAACGTCCTATGATACAATTGGTAAAAATAATTGAATTTGATCGTATTTGAAAAATAATAATAATATGTTGAAGATAATTATTACAAACAAACAAACAAAAAGAAGAAAATCCTACCAAAGGAAAAATGGCAGCCAGCATAGTAGGAACGCACCCATGATGATACCAAGGGTCCTCGCTGCTTTGTGCTCGGCTCTCCAACTTTTACTTTGTTGTCTTATTGAGGTACCTAAAAAAAACAAACAAAAAAAGAAAAACAATCATTCATATTAGAATAAACAATTATTTTCACAAATTGTTTCAATTGATAAATAATTTCATTGTGAACAAATGATATTTCAAGTAAAATACATCATTGTCTGTGATTTATACGAACGGGACAAAAATAATTATTATTTTTTACGATGAGAATAGAAAATAAAAAAAAAATAAAAAAAACAAAATCTATGCAGGAATAGAACAAAAAAATATATATGTTGCAATTGAATAGTTTTTCTGTTGAATAATAATAACAACGTGTTAAGAAGGTAGTACACATGGAAAAGAAAAGAAAAAAAATTATAAAAAAGAAAAAAAAGGTAATATATATTATATCGTAGTAGTGCGGTGAATATCTGTGAAAAATAAAATGAACGTTATCGATGATAACTGTTAAAGAAAATGAAGCATGTATACATTTATATATGGCGGATCAGTAAAGTCTTCACGATATTACATGTATATATATATATATATATATATATATATATATATTATATGTTATTATACTTATATACTTTGATCTTCGAATAAACGGAAAAGGAAAAGAAAAAAGA